GCTGTAAAGGTTGCCCATGATGAGCCCCTGTTCCAGAGGTGTCATAATGCCTGTTGTAGAGGTCTAGCTATGACAAGCACCGTTCCAAAGGCGTCATAATGCCTGTTGTAGAGGCTGGCTACCATTAGTAGATACTTTCCGTCAGAGGTACGGACGGAAAGTGGATGCTCTTCCCGGTGCCATTGTTCAGACCGACATCCCTCAATATGCAGGATGACATTTACCTTTATAACTATGTTATAGTTAATAACACAACATTGTTCCGATACATTTGTACCAAGTAGGGAAGGTGCTGGAAGCGCCTACCATCCAGGGCAAGAAGGGAACGTGGTAAATGAGAAAGGCACGCGTCATACGTCAACCATCAGCTGAATGATTCTCGTTTTTCCACCAACAAAAAGAAACAGTATCACCACCACTATCAGCACTGCTTGAAGTACCACTTTTAGTGCATGACAAACCTTGGGACACACATGTATACGCATACACACATACATATACATACTAGAGGGGCCTGATAGCTGAGTGGACAGCGATCTGGATTCGTAGTTTGGAATTACGAACCTGTTTCGTTTGGACGCAAACCAAACCTGGGACCTGGTAGTTTGAAATCTGGAACATGAGGTTCCAAGTTCGATCCCCGGTAGAGGCGGAAACAAATGGGTAGAGTTTCTTTCACCCTGATCCCCCCTGTTCACCTAGAAGTAAAGAGGTACCTGGGAATTAGACAGCTGCTACGGGCTGCTTCCTGAGGGTGTGTAACAACAAAAAAAAAAGGTCTGGTCGAGGACCGGGCCGCGGGGACGCTAAGCCCCGGAATCACCTCAAGATAAGAAGATACTGTACATCAAGAAATCAATCTTGTTCTTCGATATAATCGGTTATTTTAGTTCTGGAATATGTTCAGGACAAAAGAATATTTGTTAGTTGGTCAGTAAGGTATTGTGATGGCCTTAATAACCCTCCAGAGGTTGACAGACCGCCAGCAAATATATGTCCAGTCTCACCCGTCGTCAACTGGCGGTAGAGAGTGATCTTCCTCACCAGTCTGACATGATGCGCAGCAGTTGATGTTTATTGTGATGTGGAACAAGTGTCGTCATTAAAGAACCACCCATAACACCACACACAGAAATCACAATAGCGTGATGCATCAAATAAACAAATCCACAAGGGCCGTGATGAGGGTTCGAACCTGCGTCCGAGAGGATCCCCATCCGTACACTCTAAACATTCACATCCGAACCTCAACATTAGGAAAGCGAAACTGCCTCCCGAGCCGGACATTAGAAAACCTAAGCTGCCTTCCGATAGCAACATACACAATATCTGGCTGCGTAATATCAGTTAAGGAAATCTGGGTTGCAGTAGATCTACGGGTCGGACAGCACGGGCTCACCATAGCCCGTGCTACTTGGGACTTTTTGTTCCAGGTAGCGAATCTTAAAACAACAACAACAGGGTCGGACAGCTTCAACCAACAGCCTGGCCGAACAAGTTATCATCAATGAAGCCTGGCCCCCAAACCGGATTTGGGGAGTAAAATTCTGGGAACCGACTATAGGTAAATTATATACAATATCTCTCTCTAAGATGGACAACAATATTTACAAAGGTGTCAAATCCTCCTCCTTCGCGCCATACGAGGACAAGCAGTTGTATCTGGATTGACACAGAATTAAAACCAATATTATATATATATATTATATATATATATTGTGACGGTAACGCGTTGGTGTTCGGCTGTTCAAAGCTAGGGGTATGGCCTCGTCACATAGAATTAAAAAAAAATAGAAAATCTGGAACTTCGTCTGTGGTAAGGTAAGGAGAAGACACACAAAACACAAGTAAATTTTAACAATGCAATTTTAATTACGTTAGATAAACAAAACATGAATAAAATGGACATACAAATTCGTATAATAAAATCAATCAATCAAAATAATAAGAATAATTAAATGGCAAAATGAAAAGTTATGTTAAGACAAGTGAGCAATAACAAGCTGTGCAATATACAATAAAATGAGAGGTGCGGGAATATTGGCTTTAAGCTATCACCTCTCTTAGTACACTTAAGCCAAAGCTCAGTCTACCAGGAAGAAGTGTTAACTGTATGAAAGCACTGAATATTCTGAGGACTGAGGTCGTGGCGGCCCCAGACATCGAGTAGTATGGTGGGTGGAGTGCAGTTGCAGCCAGACCGGCGGCCAATCAGCGAGGAGCCGGCAACAAGACAGGTAGTTTGGCGGTTTGAGGTGAAGCAGGTGTCCCTGGCTGCATACGTTTTGCGCTCTGGCAAACCTTGGAGATGTTATTGTCGTTGTTGGACATTTCTTCCATAGTAGTTTTATATATTTGTTGCGACGTAGTTTTGGAGGGAAGAGCAGGCTCAATCTCTTGAAGGAGATTATCGTCACAATATATATATATATATATATATATATATATATATATATATATATATATATATATATATATATATATATATATATATATATATATATATATACACACACTTCGTACACGGAATGGAACTTTGAAATAGTGTGTATTTTTACACACTATTCCAGTCTATTACACACACGTCCAATGAGTTATGTAGGCACCTGGTCGTACCTGCGAGAACGGGCTTCAGATCCTGGGCCCCGCCTCCCCGTCTCCAGAGACAATCAACACTGTGAGAGTGACCTTAGTGGGAGAGTTCAACCCTGTATTTAACCTTGACATTGATCCATTGTAACTCTTAATCCTTTCCAATAGATCCTCAGTCTCGACCTTCAACCTCTCACGTTGCTGAACACATACTACTGACTATCCCCAGGATGCGACAAACAGCTGCTGCTAGGTGGACAGAGGTATTAGGGGAAAAACACATATTTGTCATGCACAAGGATTTGAACCACGGTCCCTTGTTTGTGAGCCGAGGACGTAGCCCATTGTGCCACAGGACCCATTTAATGCAGTATTAATATCTAACCAGTGCCAGCGTCAACCAGTGCCAGCGTCAACCAGTGTCAGGGTCAACCAGTGCCAGCGTCAACCAGTGCCAGCGTCAACCAGTGTCAGCGTTAACCAGTGCCAGCGTCAACCAGTACCAGCGTCAACCAGTGTCAGCGTCAACCAGTGCCAGCGTCAACCATTGCCAGCGTCAACCAGTGCCAGCGTCAACCAGTGCCAGCGTCAACCAGTGCCAGCGTCAACCAGTACCAGCGTCAACCAGTGCCAGCGTCAACCAGTACCAGCGTCAACCAGTGCCAGCGTCAACCAGTGCCAGCGTCAACCAGTGTCAGCGTCAACCAGTGCCAGCGTCAACCAGTGCCAACGTCAACCAGTGCCAGAGTCCACCAGTGCCAGCGTCAACCAGTGCCAGCGTCAACAAATGCCAGTGTCAACCAGTACTAGCGTCAACCAGTGCCAGCGTCAACCAGTGCCAACGTCAACCAGTGCCAGCGTCAACCAGTGCCAGCGTCAGTGCCACTCACGACCGTGACTCATTAGTGGGACAAGGTGTCGTGCCAATCAAGGTCTTTTGTGTCTCTTAAAGGAAACCGCTTTATCATGCTTCTTTTGGTGTATGTGTGTGTGTGTGTGTGTGTGTGTGTGTGTGTGTGTGTGTGTGTGTGTGTGTGTGTGTGTGTGTGTGTGTGTGTGTGTGTGTGTGTGTGTGAGACATGGAGCCCACACCTACGCATACTAAAATAACAGGGAATGATAAAACTAGACGACATTAGAGCCAAATTACAAAACATTTCGAAAGGATTTTAGTAAATATTTATTGAAAATTTACTGCAGGTAAAAAAAGGTCATTATACCCCATATTAATAAAAAAAACAGAAAGGAAGACAATGTTAAACATTTCATCACAAATAGAATTGTGGATGTTTGGGATGGGCTTCAAACACAAAAGCCATGTCAACACACCTGGAAACAACATATATATACGATTTAGTAAAGATACAGTCAACAAAGCTGTATTACTGTAACTAAATTTGCCAACAATTACACACACACACACACACACACACACACACACACACACACACACACACACACACACACACACACACACTTTCAAAGCGTTATACGACAAAGAGTACTGGGAAGACGGGACACCACGACGGTAGCTCTCATCCTGTAACTATACTTAGGTAATTACACACGTTTCAGATCGTAAACTTTGAAAGTTAAAAAGATTGAAAAGTATCACAACTTATATATCGTAAATATTCCAGTAATCTACAAGCTTAATAAAACTCGATTAACACTTCGGACGTTTAAAAATATATATTTTACTGTTGTAGAGCAGTACAATCATACACTAATATGTTGTGAATTCCACTCGGGTGCCTTCAAGTTCCATAGCAATTTATCGAAATGTTTGGCTTCTATAAACCCATTACACCAGCGCCCACGGGATGGGTATGGGGTACATAATAAAGAAATTGAATTCTATAATGCCACCAGCCGTTTATTACAGCTTGGCTTCGTTTATAAGGGCCAGCTGAGCTAGTGCACTCTACACGTATGCCTTCACAAACACCAATGACTAGATATGAATATTTTGTTAGGTCTGTTGACTGTCTAAACGTGTATAACATCTTCGTTAGCGTGTTATTCATCACTACGGCTGCCTTCATCAGTGCAACAGTGTTTGTCTGTCCGAGGTTGGAGGCCAGATGCTCGGGGCTAGCCTCACCCAACTTTGCAGGGTGAGAGGTCTGGGGTGCAGTATGGACATAGGCGGGTCGGGGTCGATTCTATTAGTCCTATTAAGTGGGAGCTAAAGCCCAATAGTGGCACCCACTTCAAAATGGTAGGCGGGCGCGCAGAAGAGGAGGACGGAATGGGAGAGATAAGAGGGAGGCAATGAAGCATAATGGGTGAAATTGTATCACCCGAGAAGCATCCATTGAATGTCGTCTTCACCCCCCCCCCCCACCACCACCACCACCGAGGGCCGTCGGGAAGCTATATAAGAGCCGCGGGCTGGCGTTGGAGCTCAGTGCCACTGGAGCCGTCCTGCAGGTGGTGGCTGTTCGTACCCCCCATGTCTCCAGCCCCCGCGTGTGTGTTTACAGTCATGCGGACCAAGGTATGGTTACCATAAGGAGGTGTTAGGTCAGAAATGTCTTCACGGGTCACAGATGCGTTTCATCCGCCGATGTGTTTCTTTCCTTTTGTGGGATTTGGTGTATTTCTGTTTTGTAAGCATGTCTGGAGTTGTTTATACATAAGGGGGGGAGGAGGGGAAGATATATAAAGCTCCTAGCTTATCTGCTGGGGGAATAGGGAGCCCCTAGGTTATCTGCTGGGGGAATAGGGAGCCCCTAGGTTATCTGCTGGGGGAATAGGGAGCCCCTAGGTTATCTGCTGGGGGAATAGGGAGCCCCTAGGTTATCTGCTGGGGGAATAGGGAGCCCCTAGGTTATCTGCTGGGGGAATTGGGAGCCCCTAGGTTATCTGCTGGGGGAATTGGGAGCCCCTAGGTTATCTGCTGGGGAATAGGGAGCCCCTAGGTTATCTGCTGGGGGAATTGGGAGCCCCTAGGTTATCTGCTGGGGAAATAGGCAGCTCCTAAGTCATCTGCTGGGGGTAGGAGCCACATCCCAGGTCACCTGCTGGGGGAAGGGTACTGTTAGCAGAGTAAGGGGACCCATTCGGCTCAGGCTCAATTCTCGCATATACCGAGACGTTTGGGCACGTTTCCTTACACCAGATACCTCGGCACCTAGCAAGGCAAGGTAAGGGGACTGTTGTGGGTCGCATGCTAGGGGGAAGGTCAGTCGTTCGTCTAGGTAAACAGACCTCTCGGTATTCCTCACAGCTCCTCCCCCCCCACCTTAGGTATCCCCAAAATAAGCGAGCATCACCCAACTCCAGGTTTACAGCCCCCACAGTGATCCAGTTTACACCCCCCCCCCCCAGTGCAACCAATTCACACCATGCTCCAGTTTACATTTACCTAACAGTGCTCCAATTTACATACCAACACACTGCTACAGTTTACACATCTCCCCCCCCCCCAGTGCTCGAGTTTACACCAACAATAGTGCTCCAGTTTACAACTCAAACAGCTTATTTCTTAAGGTTCTTTATCATTTGGGTGAGATGTTGGAACATTCTCTCTCCAAAAGCTCATTTTTATATTTGTTCTGGACTTGACACGTGTCGCTAAAGGTCGTGTTTCGCTACAATACATCTTAGCATAATAATGGGCAGAGCAGAACTCCGGCCAGGCACGAGTGAAGAGAAGTGAAGTGTTCTACTCTGTCAAGGGGGCTGAGTAATCGCCTTTTCGTGGGTCGAATGGAGTAAGTAGAGGTGTGTGGTGTAAACGGGCAATTCTCTCTTAGGTTTTTCCAATGTAGTTGATTGGAAACAAATGGGCAGAGTTTCTTTCAGCCTGATTCCCCTGTTGACCTAGCAGTAAATAGGTAATTGGGAGTTAGACAGCTGCTACGGGCTGCTTCCTGGGGGTGTGTAACAAAAAAGGGAGGCCTGATCGAGGACCGGACCGCGGGGACGCTAAGCCCCGAAATCATCTCAAGATAACCAGCTATTCTGTCCCTATATCGCTTCCAGGCGTTACATAGTCACACTGGCATAGCACGTTCTCGTGATCATTGTTATGTTGTGTGACGTGTCTGATATCTACCATAGCTTGTAGGACAAGTTGGGTACAGTCTCTTCAAATTCCTCCCTCTGACAACCTTCACAAACCCTATACTTTTAGAGTTATGTACAGCTCCAGTCTCTTGCACCTGTTTATATAAGTTTACGCTTAACTTTTTATTTTTATTTTTTTATTGATATATACAAGAGTTGTTACATTCTTGTACAGCCGCTAGTACGCGTAGCGTTTCGGGCAGGTCCCTGGAATACGATCCCCACGAAGAATCGTTTTTACAACCAAGTATTCATTTTACTGTTGAGTTAAACAGTGGCTACAGTTAAGGATCTGTGCCCAGTAACTGTACACTATTCCGCTCAAGTTTGTGTTGTTCAGTCCCTGCCTGAGCGTTGTTCAGTCCCTGCCTGAGCGTTGTTCGTCTGACAACTTTACACTTTCTCCAAAGTTTTAACAGCTGCCACTTCACTGCTCAAACTTTCATTTTTGTTCATTAACTGATAATTTCGCATTGTCATATAATTTGTTGCTCGTCTGGCCATACTTGCCACGTTGGTTGGTTTCTTATGTGCTCAAAACAACAATTTAAATCAACATCACCAGCACTGGAGCCATGATGTCAACACTGGATAGTCAATTGGTCATGTGAGTTGCTGTCTAGGAGCAGTGTATCCGCGGCCCGGTCTCTGATCTGGCCTACAAGTCGAAGGTCTAGTGCCCCAGGCTGTTCGACGCCGCTGCATGACGTGAGAATCACAGCCTGGTTAATCAAGTACTCTGCGATGGGGTTTTATCACGTTTCCTCCTGAACATCGAGAGGTCGCCAAGTCATTTGGAGGGAGTCCAAATGGAGTCATTTGGAGGGAGTCATGTCCCTTATATTTGGAGGGAGTTTAGAAGTCATTGGCTCTTAGTGTTGATAGAACTGTCTCTTAAAAGTACCTATTGCACCTTTGCTTTCCAATAGGGCTATTTTCCCCCCTACTGTCATGCCTTTCTGGTCTCGCTTGGAATTATAAATTGTGCAGATTTGAAACCAGTCCTTCTTATTTCCCAGATATATTATGATTGAAAAATATAAAGAAGTTGTGTTAAGTAGGGGTTTTATGTCAAGAAATTAGTGTGTAAATGTTAAACAAAATACCTTGTTCTACTAGATGCCATTTAAATCACGCGGTTCAGTTATGGGCAACTACAAAATTTTCATAAATATTTCAAAAAATGAACAGAGAAAAGGTAAAGTTAATGACAGACGTTATAAACCTCCGGTGTGAAGAGATAGAGAAAACTTATTTGTCAAAACTGGATAAAGTCAAAAAGTAAAACAGGACATGATTGATGTATCCAAATGGTTGAAAGATCATAACAAAGGTGTTAATAACGTGCTAAATATGTCAAAACAGAAATATGAAATAATACAAAATATGTCAACATAAGACAGTAAATGTAAAATTTTACATAATTAGATTCAGCAAAGAACCGAGCAAATATTGGTCTTAAAATTAGGTGCAAATTCATGGTACAGGGATATGGGGAATGCTGGATTATTTTAACTATAGGTTATACACGAGTAAGGATGATTAAATAGGACCTGCTTCGTATAAGCCATCTGGTTATCTAAAAAAATTCTCTGTTGTTGTTGTTGTTGTTGTTATAGATTCAGCTACTCGGAACAGGTTCCAAGTAGCACGGGCTATGGTGAGCCCGTAGTGGACTTACCTGGCACAGGAGCGAGGCTCCAATGTTCTCTGTACTTGGGCAGTTCTTAGAGGTTCATCTCTCTCCCTCTACAGCCACTTCTTCCCTATTATTTGGAATCTTCTCGAGAAGACTTTCAAGTTTGCAAGTTTGCTCGTCAGTTTCTTTTGTGTGACTGTAGTCCCATACCTTTTTCTTGAAGTCCCCCCCCCCCCACCTTTTATTGTTAATTCATCTGTAGTCATGAACTCTGACACTACTTTTCTCGGATGTGCTGCTCCAGCACATCCGAGAACTGGAGCAGCACAGAACCATCGGAGTTCTGTGGAGTTCTGGTGGTTCACTGGTGGTTCTAGGAGTTCCAGGTGGTTTCGACCGAATCCAGATGGGGAACATATTCTGTTCTAGTCACATCCGCCCGTTCCACCGAGTGGACAGTTCTGCGTTGGGGCTTCTTCTATATCATCCTTTGACATGTCTTGACAAGCATGCACTGCGGCATTTCTCCATGTATCTTATTTTCCGCTTCTTTGCCAACGTATATCTCACAGGAGCACTTTTCTGAAAGATCATCTTCACTGGCCGGTGCTGTCCTTTCTGAAATCTCCCTAACCTACAAGAATTATCTTCACTGGCTGCCTGACTTACGAGAACTGTGCTGAGAATTTAACTTCTCTTTCCAATCTCTGTTCCTCTGCTCTTTTTGCTGTCTCCCTCTCGCCCTGGAAGCTTATAAATGACGATCGAATTTACTACCTATTTTGTCTTCATGGCCTCTAACACTGCTGATTTAATATGATTTACCTTTAATCATTTTAAATGCTTCTGTCAAATTTATACAGGCCTTATTCCTTGGTGATCTGTCGCAAATACTTGTACGACTCTTCTCCACTTTTGTTGCCTCCGTAGTAATCGCCAAAAGTAATACTGCTAAGAATTATCAGTAGTGAGTGCTGTCGCCGTGTGGCTTTCTGGACGTGTCGCCCCTCACTCAACTCAAATGCTTTTTATCAGATTGTATACATGTGATACTGTCTCCACTCCCCCCCACTCCGTTCCCTCCCATGCTCCCTGCAACCCTCCCACTCAGCTTCGATGTCTCCCATGTAATACAATAATTATATGTTGTGTAATTATAACTGGAGCTCATAAAATGATCTATTTCAAGCACCTTCTGGGGTTGAGTGTTCAGTAACCCACTACACTGTAGTGGAACTGATCTCGAACCCTACCCATGGAGTACGGGCGAACATGTATCAGCCGTTGTATGTGAATGACGATGTCTCTACTGGGAAATAAACTAACGAGTCAATAAGCGGCTCTAACAGGCACCAGGAGACACTCAGGCCGCGACTACCCCGTTGGTGCAGTGGCTTAAGGTCTATCAACCCCTGGAGGGCTATTAAGGCCTATCAACCTTTGGAGGGCTATTTAGGCCTATTAACCTCTGGAGGGCTATTAAAGCCTATCAACCTTTGGAGGGCTATTAAGGCCTATCAACCTTTGGAGGGCTATTAAGTCCTATTAATCTCTGGAGGGTTATTAAGGCCTATCAACTTCTGAAGGGTTATTAAGGCCTATCAACCTCAGGAGGGTTATTAAGACCACCACATTAATTTACTGACCGACCAGCAAGTATACTTAAATCCTAAATATAATTCACGATTAAAGAAAGCTGTCAGTGTAAGCGGGGAACACCTAACACTGTATATATACACACACCAGAGTTCCCCTTTATCGTGGCGTCATCCCCCCGTCACGAGACGCTTGGCCGTAATGGTTGTTCTGCAGGTGATCTCCGTAATGACCAGAGTCGTCTTCTGGCATACTAATAAGTCCCACGGTGCTGGAAAGTGTGCCGAAATGAAGACTCGTGTGACGCTGTCGTCGCTGCGTTGTGGGTCACTGATGACATGTACCTGAAGGAACTATAATATATCAAACACAAGTCACAGCCCCGCTCCTGTGCCAGGTAAGTCCACTCCGGGCTCACCATAGCCCGTGCTACTTGGAACGTTTTGTCCAGAGAAGCTGAATCTAAAACAACAACAACACAGCTCAGACATAACACTGCCTGCCACTATAAGGAGCATCAGCCGGGATAAGGTTAGGTGACTTAGCGCCACCACTTTTCACAGCATCTTCAGGAGTCGTCCAGTAAGACCTACGCCGTTCAAAACACGCACGCCATTGATATTCTTCTACTAAATTAAATATAGAGTGAAAACTCTCAAGCCAATTTCTTTTAGTAACTATTACAGCGGCGTTCTTGACCCAACGGAGAGGATAATTGCAGGGTACTGAGTGAGGCAGTCTCCGTCGTGTAGAACACGTAGATCATTAAACCATTAACGACGCTGATGTAATATTGATCCTGTGTTGGTTTTACCAGAGCTTCCTCTGCCTCTACACCTTCCCGTCACTTTAAATACTCACAAAATAACACAATGTGCTCCTCACGCGTAGCTGCCTTTTCATCACACACACACACACACACACACACACACACACACACACACACACACACACACACACACACACACACACACACACACACACACACACACGGGACCAAAGAGCCGAAGTTAACCCCTCCCCCACCACAAGCACAATTAGGCGAGTACTCACACACACACACACACACACACACACACACTTATTACCAACATTAATAATTCTTAACACAATTCTCAAAATGAATAGTTAAGAACCTAAGATAAGGATTACTGCTGAAAGCATATTGGTCCATACGAGGCGGCTCAAGTAATCCCCGCATCTATCTTGACAATTAATCCTTCAACTCAGACAATTGATGGTCATCTTCGTTAAAACACCAGATATTACAAACACCCGATATAACAAATACTCGATATTAAAACAACCGATTATAACAAACACTTGTTTGTCACCGTTGTCGAAGGAAAATGAAAGACTGGAAAATGCAGCAGAGACGAGAGGGGAAAGTGACCGGTGGACCAGAGGGGGAAACAGGTGTTCTTCCACCGCCAATCATTTTCCTGGTGCTTCCGAGGCCAGCTGACATGATAGAGGTGGTAGTCACCAGTTATAAGGAAAATTTTGTACCGTATGGGTGAGAGTATAAACGTACCGTGTACCTGTACCGTGTAGGTGAGAGTATAGTAGTAGGCATCCTTCAGTCTCGGAAGACTATGGAGTTGCGCCCTGACAGGGCGCAAAGCCTGAGTAGGTAGATATGGAGAAGTTGTTACCCATGCAGCAGGTCCCCCTCTCCACGTTGCTGAAATTATCCAATAGAAAGGCAAATGCCAATACACATGGTTCCAACAACGTCGCAGGAGCTGCCAGAACGAGGTCGACGTCAACAACGAACTGCCTTAGGGGCTCCAACTCCGGATTTTTCCTCGAGGTTGACTCCTGAAGCCTTCCCAAAAAAGGGGTATGGCCGCAAGGCAGCGGAGGTTTAAAATCAAGGTTTTCCTTCCCCGAGATGGGCTGCCTTCCCAGGCTAACGAGTCCCATCTACCCGGAGCAGCTGGTTTTAAGGCGCCAGAGGCACGCCCTCGACCCTTCTCCTGACGGTAAAAGCAGTTCCGCCGGACTTAAAGACTAAGCCACCCGTGCAGGCCAGGAGTTGGACTTGGTTGTCAGAGGCTATTGGAGACGCATGCCGTATAAGAGCATTTTATAGGTCATGGGAGCTCGTCCCCCATTACCACCCCCTGGCTATGACAACCCCTTGTGAGTATAAATGTGAGAGTATAAAGGTACAGTATTCCTGTACCGCATGGGTGAAAGTATAAAGTGTTGGAGTACTGTTCAAGACCAGTGTGGGGGGACGAGGCTTTCCTCACTCGCTCGATGACTGCAGTGTAGCCAGGCGTCTCTCAGTGCTCCACTAGGGGGAGGGAGTGATGGAGAGAACGGGAGAGTTAGAAAGGAGAGAGCGAGGAAATGAGGAAGCAAGTGAGGGAATGAGGGAGCGAGTGAGTGAAAGAGCAAGTGTCATAATGCTTGTCAATATTTAATGAATGATCAAATTAATGTATACCAATACTCGAAAGGCAGGTGGCCCTCGTCGCGAAGGGCCACCTTTCATCGCCAGAGTAAAAGTTGTTTACGTTTAATACCTGGAGATCTGGGGAAACTAGCGAGAGTGGCGAGCAGAGCAGGAACATGTGCTGGTAACCGCTGTTCCTTAGAAATTATCACCATGGCGGTTAATGTTTCATTTAAGCGGAGGTTCTTACTGCCCGAAATAACCTTAGTCATCCTTACCTGTATTCACTGCAGAGAATTTAATTACAGCCCTTTTATCGTATGGTGTTCAAAACTTTACTGAAGATACGCTCTTAATCTTTCTTCACCCCATCACTAAACCTTACGCTAGGCTTCACGGTTAATTATGACATCGGTACTTGCCCCATCAGTTACATTCATGAATGGTTTACTATAGTCTGCTGGAACAGAGTTTTCCCTGAAGACTACACTTAAGTCACAAAGTATTACTTAAGGCTGCGTTTCTAGTGCCAGCAATAAACATCTTAATACTATCTCCACTCCACGAAAAATGTCTGCTGTTCCACCACAAGCAATGGTTCTCAAATGTATTTAACAGCAATAATATCCCAGCTGGCACAACATGCTAGAGTAACAGTTATTCAACATAGGATCAATGTTGCTTTCTTGTTATAACAAAGTTTGCAAAGACCAACTTTGTCGCCTGGACGAGCCTAGCCTGAGGACAGGTTCGCAGGTGGTCCTCCTCTCGGTCTTAAAAGCCCTTTGTTGAACGGGCAGAAATACCTGTGCTAAATTAGGTTTAATCGGTTTCATTGATAAAACTGATTAACATTTGATAATGTATCACAGCTTTTAATCGAGATATTTATGTTTAAAACATTAAAGAAATTTATTTTATTTGCTCATATGAAACTAAGTTATTTTAGCTTTCACAATGGTTCTTGCATGGGGAACCTTGTTAGTAAATTCATATTTAATATATAACTAACTAAAAATAATACACCAATATTTATACACCTAATTTATTTCCTGGTAATTGTTTTCTTATATTTCGATTCATACTTGATCCCAGAAATTAATTTAAGTGCAGTTGGCTTCATTCTTAGGGCTTCTGGGTTCGATTCCCCAGGACGGTCACTACTGCCTCTGTTCACCTAGCAGTAAATAGGTATCCGGGAGTTAGGCAACTGCTGTGGAGTTGCATCCAGAGGCAAGTCAAGCCTTGATACAAGCCTAGTTATTATAATATGCAAAAAAATATGTTTACTTTGGTTTGCCCTTCATTATTTAAAGAAAACTAAAATGTGTTCTGTAAGGGCAAGTATTACATAAAATTACAGTTTTCTTCTATTGCGTGTAGGGCTAACTAAAGTAATCTGTGCCAAAACATGCTGACCAAACTGCTTACTGTTGATATAAGAAGAAAATTTTGGTATTATAACTAATTCATTGGATACAGTGCGAGATACACCTGAGCGCTAGAGTATAACCGCTTTTATTAAGATGTACCTTGTACGAATAATCATTTGTGCATTTTTATTAAAATAGAATGAAGCTGACATTCAATTTAATAAACAGACTACGCCGCCATGACCTCGCTAAGAAACTCTTACGTGTACACTAAAGTACCTGATGAATCATGAGCCTGATTCACCTTAGGTTTACAACGCTATATGATAAATTATATAAAATAAAAAATGCCTAAGATCTAGGATCCTAAGAGTTTCACTCCTTACTCTGTTTCGTAAACAAAAATAACATTTGATCTAACTTTCAGTGCCTACACATCCTCCTGCTGACGGCGCTGACGGCGACGTCGGTAGTCCAAGGGGACAAACTTCCCAGTGGAGGACAACATGATGGAAGGCACAGCAGTGGCAACAGACCTGGACACAATTCACAGACGCCGTCACAGAACTATGGACTTCCCCAGCAGGGTTCCTCCTCTGGGTCTCACCGGCAGGGTACCCGTGGGTCAGGCTCGGCGGAGGGGCCATCCAGCTCATACAGCTCGAGCACCTTCCGTGCTGGAGATGACGCCCTGAGCCCTCCCAGTCAGTCTTATGATTTGCCTCAGACCCCATCTCCGGCTAGCCAGACCTACGGCGCCCCTTCGCACACTCAGACCCCACAATCGATTAGTCAGACATATGGGCCACCCCAGACAGGCACACAGACCCAGACAGTAAGTCAGACCTATGGTACACCCCAAAAGACACAGACACAGACTCCTTCCCAGACATATGGAGCCCCCCAGTCGTCCGGCGGTAATCAGGTGAGTAACTTGTCAACTGATACGTACCCTTACGGCACCATAACGCAATATTCACCATTATGCTAATCATTTTAAGTTTTCGCAAAAAGATTCATAATTAAATGCAGATAAAAATGTTATCTGTATAGCTGTACTAACTTGCTTGTGACTAGTTCAGTATTGACTTTCCTGCATTTTATGACCTTCTTTACTAGGGTGACGCTGTTTACACCCAACAGTTTCTTGGTGGCTCGCCAATATCCTCTTGGTGGCTCGCCAATATTCTCTTGGTGGCTCGCCAATATCCTCTTGGTGGCTCGCCAATATTCTCTTGGTGGCTCGCCAATATCCTCTTGGTGGCTCGCCAATATTCTCTTGGTGGCTCGCCAATATCCTCTTGGTGGCTCGCCAATATCCTCTTGGTGGCTCGCCAATATCCTCTTGGTGGCTCGCCAATATTTTCACCAAGGAGCCGTCGAGAGCCTCCTATACTGTTAATTAATATGCTCGGAATGACCCCCAACTTCACCCTTCCAACCCGTCCTCATACGGAGTGAGAATAGCTTGAGCTACCTCATCCCTTTGTGAATGTTTATACCTCAATAAACTTATTTGAATTTGAACCCGTCCTCTCGCCCAATACGCTGGCCACATTTTTTTTAACCGACTTTACCGGTTGGCAACGCGCGACGTATTAGTATAGAGTAAAACACAGTAATACTGGAATTTTCCGTGCATCAACTTCAATAGGCTATAGGCAGCTTGCTTGTTTTCGTCGATTTAAGGCTAAGCAAATCAGTTGCACTATTTTTGCGTTTATTCAAAACGAGCCCCTCAAACCGCCTAGTTAGTACTAAAGTATATTTAAAGTAGTAATATATATGTATCGTTAATAATATTTATCTCTCTCTCTCTTATCAATCAGAATTACGAAGCGCCCCTTCAGACCTTAGGAGCGCCACAACAGCCCTCGCAAACTTTCGGAACACGGCTGGAGCCTCGAAAGTCTTACGGAGCACCCCAGCAGCCGTCACAGTCTTACGGAGCACCTAAGCAGCCATCACAGTCTTACGGAGCACCCCAGCAGCCGTCACAGTCTTACGGAGCACCTAAGCAGCCATCACAGTCTTACGGAGCACCCCAGCAGCCGTCACAGTCTTTCGGAGCACCCCAGCAATCGTCACAGTCTTTCGGAACACCCCAGCAGCCGTCACAGTCTTTCGGAACACCCCAGCAGCCGTCACAGTCTTACGGAGCACCAAAGCAGCCGTCACAGTCTTATGGAGCACCCCAGCAATCGTCACAGTCTTTCGGAGCACCCCAGCAATCGCCACAGTCTTCCGGAGCACCCCAGCAGCCGTCACAGTCTTACGGAGCACCCCAGCAGCCGTCACAGTCTTACGGAGCACCCCAGCAATCGTCACAGTCTTTCGGAGCACCAAAGCAGCCGTCACAGTCTTACGGAGCACCCCAGCAACCGTCACAATCTTACGGAGCACCCCAGCAACCGTCACAGTCTTACGGAGCACCCCAGCAATCGTCACAGTCTTTCGGAAGACCCCAGCAGCCGTCACAGTCTTACGGAGCACCCCAACAACCGTCACAGTCTTACGGAGCACCCCAGCAGCCGTCACAGTCTTACGGAGCTAAACAACGAGAGCTTCAGGTGCCTTCTCAAGGTTATGTGGGCCCACAACCACAAGCATCTTCCCAGGGTTACAGAACCCCGCAACAAAACCTACAGACGCCCTCACAATCTTCCGGTCCAGCACAGAAACCCTCACAGAACTATGGACCACCTCGGCAACAGCTGCAGAAGCCTCCACGGAGCTATGGAACACCACAGAAACCTTCTCAATCATATTCATCTCCCAAACAAACCCAACAGAAACCATCGCAGGAGTATACGCCTCCACAACAGAATCAAAATACAGGTTACGGAGGTCAACAGAACAACGGAGGGGTCTACGGTAATGGAGAACACATGAAGGTATTAACTGACACAGTAAAACTACTAATTTATATTTATTAATCAGTAACTATATGCTTTAACTAAATTGAACAAAATGTATAGCCATCAAGGAATAAGTGGAGGAGATTTAACCGACATTCTAATGACCTATCGATGACATCCATTACCACAATGTTAAATTGACTTAAGTCATTATTATTATTAGTATGGTGCTAACCATTTCTAGAAATCATTTCACCCCATAAACCAGCATTAGTTTAATGCAGTGTGGCCCCAGGGCGCTCACCCCGAAAGCACATTGGTAGAGTAACGCTTCGACGATATTACAGCGTATATGTATAGTGTTTCTGCCCTTCTCTCTCTGGCTCTGCCTCTCTCATTTGATAGATGTATATCGTCTGTTTCATCTCGCCTCTGATATAATTAATCAAGCTGACTAATGAAGTGTTTCAGGGGATGCCGTACGGGTTCGACTACGCTGTCAACGACAGGTACTCTGGAGTAGACTTCTCGCAGAAGGAGTCCTCGGACGGTGACGTGGTCACGGGCGAGTACAGGGTCCAGCTGCCAGACGGACGCCTCCAGATTGTCACCTACACCGCCGATCATCACAACGGCTATGTGGCTAACGTCAGGTGAGTGTGAGAACATCTGTATTCCTTTCCTGCGTCGAGCGTCAGAACCTCTACCCTGGGGGGTAGAAATAGCCTAAGGTACTCTATCCCTTTGAGATGTATTTCTTTCTGATCTCAATAAACTTACTTGAACTTAAACCTCTACATGACGAACTGTACAAATAATACTACGATCCATCTTACCCTACGCAAGGCTTTCAACATTGTTCAGTTTAAGATAATTATAAAGTGTGAATACTGAATCACTAACATCAGAAAACGCGATTTTTGCATAAACAAGCGAAGCCAAGACTGTGAGTTTCTTGGTCCGCGGTTCCGAGACCTACACAGTCCTGGTGGATGGAATGTTTATGTCAACGGATTGACTGATTGATGAAGATTAAGCCACCCAAGAGGTGGCACGGGCATGAATAGCCCGGAATTTCCACGGAAGTGTGGATGTCAATTTATAGGATAACATTTACAAAAGATACGGAAATATTGCGTTTTATGAATTCGAAAGGTCTTTGTAGACCACCTTTGTGCTAGTGTCACCTCATCTAAAACGCGGTACAGGTTAGGTATCCATACTACAAAACGGATGTATATTCTCATTATTAAAATAGAAATTAACTTTTGTTATAAACCTATCATTGAGAATCTTACTTACGACGACAGGTTAAGAACACTGTCGTTACAGCGCCTTCGAAAACCAGAAACCGCCAGAATATATTACTGAAAAATCAAAAGTATTAACAACGGGGAAAATATACAAAGTTTCCGAATTATCAACATGGAAATCGAAATATATTAAAAAAATATAAATTTTATGTAAAAGGGATACTGGTATGTGAAACCATTAGATCGACACCAGATTCGCAGACGAGGGGGAAGGAGGTTAGTAAGAATCGTCAGTGAAGTCAATAATTTTCTAGAGTTAAAAATAGTACAGAAGATTACACGACTGAAAACAACTGTACCTCCATTACATGGGCCAGTAGGCCTACTGGCCTGGCCTGGCCCGCACATGGGCCAGATCTTCTAGCGTGTACCTTCCTCACACGGCCAGCAGGCCTAGTACAATGAACGTTACTCTGTAAGGTCTTATGTTCTGTGTTTGCCAACTTCCAGTATGGTTAGAATTATACCCATTATGAAAATTAACAAAAGTATTAATCTTTTTATTTGTCTATGGAATGTTTCTTCCAGGTATGAAGGAGAGGCCCAATACCCAAAAGGTAACGACAACGGTGGCAACGGATATGGCCGGCAACAGAACAACGGTGACGGGAGCGGTTATGGCCGAGAACAGAGCAACGGCGGTGGCAGCGGTTACAGCGGACAACAGAGCAACGGCGGTGGCAGCGGCTACAGCGGACAACAGAGCAACGGCGGTGGCAGCGGCTACAGCGGACAACAGAGCAACGGCGGTGGCAGCGGCTACAGCGGACAACAGAGCAACGGCGGTGGCAGCGGCTACAGCGGACAACAGAGCAACGGCGGTGGTAGCGGCTACAGCGGACAACAGAGCAACGGCGGTGGCAGCGGCTACAGCGGACAACAGAGCAACGGCGGTGGCAGCGGCTACAGCGGACAACAGAGCAACGGCGGTGGCAGCGGCTACAGCGGACAACAGAGCAACGGCGGTGGCAGCGCTTACAGCGGACAACAGAGCAACGGCGGTGGTAGCGGTTACAGCGGACAACAGAGCAACGGCGGTGGTAGTGGTTACAGCGGACAACAGAGCAACGGCGGTGGTAGCGGTTACAGCGGACAACAGAGCAACGGCGGTGGCAGCGGTTACAACGGACAACAGAGCAACGGCGGTGGCAGCGGTTACAGCGGACAACAGAGTAAGGTCAGCGATAATACTTCAGGAATTCAAGACGATCCAAGATACAGCAGTAGCTACAGTACAAACTAACGAGGCAGCAATGTTTCCAGGAACACGAAGAACGTGTAGAGTCCGCCATATACACTAACGCACCTCACTCACACGAAGCACCTGTGTCAACACCAGTGTCTCACGATGCAGTGAAACTATTTACAGTTTCTGGCACGGTTACTATTTAACCCGAAAACCTCCCAAGTCTCCAGCTTGGGCCGCTACTCAGGAACTCATAAACCAAGGATATTAGGGAATCCACAAGCTCTGCATTTTTGGAAGGCAGGGTGAAGATAAAGTCATTTGGATAAATTCACATTTTGTTCAAAGATATGTGGTGAAATGTCTTTAATTGTAAAGTTCTTATTTCATGCAGAACACAAAATGAACTAAATAGCCGTCTAACTACACTGACATTGGCTTTAAACAAGCAATGTTAATACTACACTACACTACACACAGTGTACACTACACTACAGTATTAATGTAGTGTACTGTAGTGTAGTGTACACTACACTACAGTATTAATGTTAATACTAGTCCATGTACATCAGGTAGTCAGGAAACTATGTATATCACAAAATAGTCCCTATTCTTATTATGGAATACATTCCACATATTCTTAAGTTACGGTGCCAGTTTGATACTGTGTTCAAACACGGTTGCATGTTTCCCTACCCGGCTGCTATGTTGCCAAAGAAACTTTAACAGTAACATGTTTCATTAAACAGCGTCAAGAGGTGTATGTTACCTGAAGAACCAGGTGTTCCAAAGGTGTTGGGCTTTGCAATGCTGTGCCAATGGGATGTATTATATTTATGGGTATTGGACTTTAGGCTTGACCACCCAGGAAGTTCGGTGTTAGGCTTATGGCCTGTAAACCTCTGTAGGTTTATTAAAGCTACCACAATAGCTTACTGACCCACTAGCAAGTATAGCTTGGACCTGAACCTTGTTTATGGTTGAAAGCTGCAGTAAACTCTCAGTGTATATGAGAGTGTATACAGTGTATATACACCAAGTGGGATATACCTCTGTGTATAGCTAATGTTTATAAGGTACGTAGTTTGGTTTGGTATCGGGATAAAGGCCTATATCAACCTCTGGAGGGTTATTAAGGCCGCCACAATACCTTACTGACCCAGCAAGTATACTTTAATCCTGAACGCTGTCCTAGGCTAAACTCTTACTGTACATAGGTCGAAAAGCGCGGTACACTTGAAGGTGTACACATCACTGTTCGTCTATCACTGATGCTGTGATCTATTTAAGATTGATGACCAGACCACACACTAGAATGTGAAGGGACGACGACGTTTCGGTCCGTCCTGGACCATTCTCAAGTCGATTGTGAGAATGCGCTCTCTTTAAGATTCTTCTCAACTCCATAGTCTTTACGCACCAGATTACAGCTGTATAGTAAATTCTAAGTCTTCAAATCCGGAGTAGTTATGTAAACAGAACTATTAAATTAACATTATATGGAAAAATTGGCACACAGCAAACTCTGAAGGGTATTTTCAACTGGCAAGTTATATATAAAACTCTGCGGCTACATTTTCAATTCCTGGTAAAAAAAGAAAATCAACAATACTTATGAGTGAGTAGACAGGATCTGTCAGCTTGTGCTTATATATAAAATTACTATTTACTGATAGATTAATGCATATTTTAATTAATATAATTATTATTTTTGTATTGCGTAGGAATACTAATTTATAATGTTTGACATTTTCGTAAGACTTATGGTACCGATCTTTGAAATGCCTCTATTTTATTAAATAAATAAAGTGCATGTGTGTGGTTTTATTAGCCGTAAAGACGCATGGTACTGAACCTTGTACGTCCTCTATTTTATTAATTTTACCCAATTACCATAAAAAGATCTGATGGTTTAATTACTATATTATTGGGATAATTATTATTAATTATATTTGGTATGCGAAACAAATATATTTGTTTGGCCTCAAATAACATTTTCTATTGTGAATTGTGAAAAGAGAAAACGTAAATATTTCTTTGAATGGATAACTTGAATATATTGTTAATAAAGCAACATAATGTTGTTTTATTAACATTATTACCGTTAATTCATCATATATTTTAATATGATATATTATTATATATTAATATTACATATAATATATACATATATATTATATAATGCATTAATAAAATAATTTATTTATAAAAAATCAAGACAAGATTACAGTGGACATTTAGTAGACCATGAGAAAACTAACGAGTAATATTCCAGGTCTTATTACAAACACTTATATGAATCCCAGTTAATGCCAAGACACAATTACTTCAGTTTAAAATTATCTAGAAAAGAATTATTTGGAACAGGCGGGCGGAGGATCTGATTAAGCGCCGCCGGGTTAAGGCTACCGCTAAAATATTATTTTATGCCTTATTACGTACATTATTGATTTTTTAATGGTTCATAATAATTTTTTATGTTCCTAATAATCATAAATCAGTCTTTACGGCATCCATATTTATGTCCGTTTCAACACTGTTCAGCTAAAATCTATAGCATGATTTCTTTGATTTGGAACTCTTAACAAACAATTTGTCATTTAAGACAAAATATCGTCAATTAGGAATCCTGACCAAGGACCAGATTCACGAAGCAGTTACTCAAGCACTTACGAACCTGTACATCTTTTTCTCAATTTTTGGCGGATTTGTTAACAATTATTAAACAGTTAGTGAACTCCAAAGCACCAGGAGGCTGTTTATGACAACAGTTGATTGGAAAGTTTTCATGCTTGTAAACTGTTTAATAAATGTAATCAAAGCCGTCAAAGATGGAGGAAAGATGTGCACATTCGTAAGTGCTTGCGTAACTGCTTCGTGAATCTTGGTCCAAGAGGTTACAGGATACACGCCCATCACTCTACCAACATGGCCATAAGAACTGCACTATTTCGGAAGGCTGTAGATATGACACCGACTTCGTGAGAGATTGGTGCTATCACAAATAGAGATGATTTCGCCCTAGTTGTCAGAAGTATTACTATAGTTTGTAGTTGTAAACTCATGAAACAATTACATGGCTTCTTTTCATCAATTGTGGCTGACCCTGCCAGAAAATGTCCTCCTAGATATCTGATATAACGTTGTTGCCATGTTATCCACAAGACACTCGTACTTTTCTTGATTTCGTAAATCCTCACATCTAAATATCTACCTCAAACGAGGGTGTTAACTATAGCAAATATTTTGTGCACGTCTTATATTGGCTATATTGTGTTAATTGTATTCTCTCTCCTGGTAGGAGAACCCATCGTGATTTATCTGCAGTTTATTTACTGTTGATTCTAGGAGTTCTACTACATAAGCCCAGCCTGAGGCCAGGCTTGTCTTGGGATAATTAAAACAAAAAAGTATTCTTCGAGCGGCCCGCAGGCCCACATATCCTTTACAACCCGGTTGGTCACACACTTCCTGTAGGAACTTGACCAGTTGTGTCTTGAACATGTTTACTTTTGTTCCGACACTATTTCCTATATTTTGTGGGAGGGGTAAAGAACCGTTCACATATGCTGTGCAATGTTCTATGTACCTGCGGCACCTCTAATCTTCACTTCATTTTACATATCCTACTATATCTTTCCTTCCAGTACCTTATTTTGTTGTGCATATTTGAGATCTGGGCCTTCCAATATCTTTCTAACCCTGTCCATGGAAGATCGAAGAAAATGTATAAATGCTGATGAGCATTGTAAAGGTGTGGCCACGTCTGTGGTAGAGAATAATAATAATAAATATATCTTTCATTTATATATGTGATAACTCTCGTTTAATTTCTAGACAAATACATTTTAGAGCCATAAGATGGTCTCAATTTAGGTGCTTTATCGTGTCTATGCGTGCCGTACATATCCTCTGAATTCCTTCTATTTCGGAATCGTCTCCTGCTTTGAAAGAAGAAGCTAGTAGCACAAATTAAGTAAATAGTATGAACATTGTGGTGTTCAACTCTGGCTGGTGCTATATTTGCTTTATGCTCACTAAACGCTACGTCATTCAACATCATTGTTCCTAAATCCTTTACACGTTCTTTTAGTTTAACTATTTGATTTCGTCTTGCATCCTGCTTTACGTTTCAGCTCATAATTTTTACCATGCCCAATTATCCGGAATTGATCACAGCTGAACACTTATTTTGTTGCGAAAATGAAGACTATTGATATTGGTAGTAATTTTTTTATGTCTTCTACCAAGATAATTTTCATACTTTTTACCATGATATGAGAGAAAAAGTATTAGTGCCTCAGAGGACACCGATTTTCACTATGTTCGAACTTGATTTTCATTCTACGAACATCGGTCTCGATAAGTAAGGCTAGGTTAGGCTCGGACGCTTCTGGCTAGGCTTGCCTAGCCAGAAGCTTCCCTCTATAGAGACGTGTAGAGAAACTTTCTCTATCTACACTTCTGCTTAGATTAAGGTTAGGCTCAACGCTTCCGGGAAAGCAAAGAAAACTAATTTGGTGTTTGTCGGAGAGAGAGAAGGGAGCGGTACGGCAAGCAAGCGTTTGTTTCAGAATTTATCCGCACTCAATCACGAGGCTAAGAAGCTAAATTAAAAATAATGAAATCGAGGAATTTTCTGCACAGAACCTAAACAATGACGAAGTACCTGCTTAGTTCACTAAAAATTATGCATTTTTCATAAAGACAATTTTAAATTTCGTATAATTAATTGTATTTAAAAAGCCTATGGTTCAATTTCACCATCTATTTAATATCCCCATAATGAGGTAACTTTCTAGTCCGTCCCTATTAACAGAATGTAAACTTCTTACTTTATCAAGAGATTGTAAGGGTAACCGTCTTTCACCGGGTGCTTGACTCACGTTTCTTAAATGCCAAGAAAGGTGCTTGAAATCAAGTAATACAAATACTAATACATTGAAAACGGTACTTACAGGCAAGGTTCATAGTCCCTCGGTGAACGCTGTCACCGGTGTAAATCAAATGGAATGCCCATAGCGGGAGTTTGGGACGAAGCAAAACACTCAACGGCAGTCTTGAAGGAAGCTAAACGCACGAGACAAGAGGCCACTCCTGGTCAAACAACACGTGCGTCCCCCTCGCAGGTGCGACGGGTACTGGTGTCCGTCTCTGCCGTCCCCCGCCTGACCCTCCCCATAGCTCCCTGTGACCAAAGTTAAGGTCAATTATAATGTGTCGTCGGAGAGATGTGTATGTCCTATTTCTCAGTATATGTACATTAAATGTTTACTGTAATCCTGGACTATTTTCAGGACTAAAGTATACTTAATATCGTGTCAAGGCTTTGATTACTATCGTGCTATTGATAGGCTTTGATGCGAATTCATTTTATGAATGACAATGGCAACACTGTCAGGTAGTTACGTACTCGTTAATGATGTTTCTACATCTTTGTGATATACATATATTTTGTATAGTAAATGTTCCAAAGTTAATTTCCATGTATTTTTTAAATATTAAACTAAAACAATGTCTTTGGTTGCCTTACAACGATGTAATGTTTTTGTTCTTAGTTCTTAATTATATTATGCGTAATATATATATATTTGTACAACAAATATTTATTACACTCTAGTTCAAGAGCACTTTACAACGGTCCTCCAACTTGAAGTTCTTTGTTATTTGTTATAATTCAGAGTTGTTTTCCAGGTGATGTTGACCACTAGTGCAACCTTGCGTGTGTTGAGGGTGCTCGCTCGGTTATAACACCAGCCGCTCCACACTACCAGGCTTCAATTCGTCGTCCAAACCTCTTTCAACACCGTAACATTATTTATGCATAAAACTGAGGAAACGTAGCTCATTTTAATTTAAAAACAAAAATTTAATACAAAATGTGTTACTTATAAAGGTTTAGTTTTGATTGAAATATTAGTTGACTTGTGTTGACTGTATAAACAATGTGATTCGAAGCTTCACAGAAGTCTCATGTGGACACCCTGTACACCGTCTCCTGCTGAAAGAGGTTTTGTAGTGTCTTGTGAAACTATTCATAACTCCTTGTCACGTAGACAAGATTAAGTAAACAAAAGTTTGACGCATTAGTGAACACGTTTCTTACCTTGATACATCGCAGTATGTGTTCGGTCAGGCTACTATTGTCCTCAAAGTAACCGGTCCTCAGACAATACTCGTCTATCCGGCGATCAACCGATCAGTTTTCACGTTCTATGCATTCAAAATTGGATTTTTTTTAATATAAATTAATATTATCACATATTAGCATATTGGGCATATTTTTTCCTTTGTTAGTTTAGGTGTTTTGGTTCTGTTGGCAATTAGTTGCAGTTCGTGGGTAAAGCATTTACTGAGTTGCTCTTCGAACTGGTGTATCTAAAATCTAAATGGCGAGATTCGAACACAGGATTTAAGCGAAGCATTATTTGAGAAAAAATCGACCGTAATCAGTCGAGAGTTTTTAGTATAAATTATTTTAAATTCTTAAACAAGGCTTGACGAATCAGCATTTAGCCAGTGTTTAGAGGCTGGCTGCTTACCTGCACCGTGGAAGAAGCAAGTAGCGATGATGATCAGTGAAGAGGTCCGTAGCTAGAAGTGGATGCGCAGGGGATGAGCGGTGATGAGTATGGAACATCACTGGAACATGTTGACGATGTTTTCCAGCCATGAACACGGAGACTAAAGTCTCATTCTCGTTTGATAATGGACTCCAATGGAATTGTATTTATTTTGTATTAACTTACATGCGTATATGAGCATTTATACAGCTACCATAAACTATAGGAAGGGTCACATAGTTTGTGTCAAAAGTTAGGTATGAAATATTGAAACATATTTCCCAGTAAAAATTATGTACCAATTCTGACTATTATTTTAGCTAGAGAAGTGTTAACTGTCTGAAGGTACGTTTTCTATCATTCACATGTAACAATATTTGATGTGTCAGTCAGTGTATGGTGATGTGCGCTGGTTCACGAGGTGTTGTTGGTGTTGGTCTATTGCATCGTATCCCTGGGCTAGTGTATAGTGTATGACCTGAGATTAATTAAATTCGATGTATATACACCGAGGAACACCTACCAGTATATATATTCACCGAGAACTGAAGTACACTTCTCTTGCTGTATCTATACAGTGTTCCGTTTTCATTTCTGATATGTTCACTAGATGCCAATTTTTGTTCACCATTCGTCTTATTCGTCAACGTATTGTGATGTTCATTATTGATGATTTTCATTATTGATGGTTAAATAAAAGACAAAAAGTCATCACAATGTCAGACTTTATTTTTCTTCTGAGCTTACAAACACATGAGCATCAACACAATGGTCACGTGACAGGCAAATCCTCGTCCTCCAGCAGTTGTCAACAAGGACCAACTTGAGGTACATCACAGTGGTAAGTTGGCCCTTGTCAACGAGCTTCCCCGAGGCTCCACACATCGGGACGTCACCACTTAGGATACGGTGGGGCGGGGGGGGGGGGGGGGGACATGTTCCACATATACTCACAAGAATAAATTATTATGCTAGCAGCTGGATATTTAGGGATTCTTGTATGAAATTGTATTATATATATATATATATATATATATATATATATATATATATATATATATATATATATATATATATAAAACGTACGTTTTTGCACTTATGTATATGTGTGAAATAGAGAACGTATTAGGTGGGATATTTTCCTGGTGGTGAGATATACAATGGGATAAAGGTTTATCTTCAATAAATGGGTAATGGGTAATGAGGCGATGTACTTAATTGACTACCATTTATTCACTTATTCACATCCATTAACTTCCACTGCTAAACATAAATAATTTATTCTTTATTTTTATATTACATTTGTTCAATACGAAGGATCCATACAAAAGTAATCATCCACCCTACGGCCTCAAACAATCTATCATACAAATACAGGAATCAAAGGATTTTATAGATCAAAATTTGATATCAACTCTTCCAAGTGTTTACACTGAGTATATTTATATACATACATAGAACGCAAACAGTCATCTTCATGACTCAGGTTTGTTAACATGGAAATATAACGTTTTGACAAGATCTTACAGCTTACAGAAAAGGGCGCCTCAAATACACAGCGTATATATGTAGAGGGAGGGAGGAAGGGAGAGAGAGAGAGAGAGAGAGAGAGAGAGAGAGAGAGAGAGAGAGAGAGAGAGAGAGAGAGAGAGAGAGAGAGAGAGAGAGAGAGAGAGAGAGAGAGAGAGAGAGAGAGAGAGAGAGAGAGAGAGAGAGAGAGAGAGAGAGAGAGAGAGACAGACTCTGAGAATCAACAAACGTTTTAGGAAGTATAACACGTCAAGAATGCCACGCGAGAATCACCTCTGTTCACTCATGATGCGGACTGAACGTGGAATATTGCAACATGGATTACTGCAAATGGCTGATTTATCTTGCAATAAAGAGACAAAACGTTGCAGCATTTATTTAAGCTTACGGATGCCATACACTGATCTGGAGTCACGATTCTTATATGGTATCTTTGACATGTCACATTCTGAGACGTATTGGATGTTTTTTTTTTTGTCACACAGGACGAATTATAAATAAAATCTTCACATTTAGCATGGAGAATCAAACATGATATTGATAACAATATCTGTATGCTTCACTCCTCGTCTGTGGTGATAGTACATAGGTATTTACACTGTGTTCATAATGTTAGTTATTCTTAACTATTCCATTCTTAGTTTGTGACACAACACGAGCATCACACAAGGACATGCAGGGGGGTCCCTTCCTGTCTCGGGATGTGTGCGGGTGTCCCACAGCCACGGAGACATCTCTGTACCCAGGACGACATTTACCGGGCGACACCTCTCTACCCCTAGAGAGCTCTGTACCCCTAGAGAGCTCTGTGACCCATAAGAGCTCTGTGACCCATAAGAGCTCTGCACGTTCAGTGCTCGTGTACTCATCCAAGAAGGGAACGGGAGTCTATTTACAGAGAGTATAATGCACTCTTGTCTAGGGCGCACCAGTGCCGGGGCGTGGCACTGGTGCCATGGGGGCCTTAGTTATCCACTCGAATATTGACAAAAATATAATTTGCAACGGTTGAGAGAGAAAGGGTGCAGACTGTAATTTGTTCAACATCACTGAAGCCAAAGATAACTTTTTCAACTTGCTGTGAAAGGATCATATATATATATATATATATATATATATATATATATATATATATATATATATATATATATATATATATATATATATATATTAAAATACCAATATAAATTCTGTTCATAAAAAATGGGCCAAGTTAAATCATAATGCTGTATCACCAACATATACCTCTTATACTACAATGATAAATTATGCGAACTACAAGATAAAGGCGTCGAGTTGCTGAGCACATTAAGTCAGCATCTACATGAAACATACAGTTGTAAATAAATAATTAATAATTTACTGACAAAATTGTGAATGTGTATAACAACAGAAGCAAGCCAGACAGAAAATGGGAAGTGAAGCAACTCGGTGGAAATTTCAATGAATTTAAATAACAACTTCTATGAAAGAGCACAAAAGTAGTCCCTTGGTGGGACTTGTACAGGTGGTTGGGCACCATATTCGTCACTCAGTCCTCACAACCTAGTTACTTGTTCTCGTATCCCAGCTCCTTGTCCCCGTATCCTAGCTCCTTGTCCTCATAAGCCTTTCCAATTGCTATATAGTCATACTGGCTTAGCGCTTTCTCCAGATAATGATCTAACTTGAGACTGCACTGTTTCTATATCCGATAACTCACCACAAAAGCAGAAAATAAAAAGTTTCAGCGCAAAACCCACTATGTACCATATCTCTGATCAAACTTAAAAAAAAAAAAACAGCAGTGAATGTACAGAACCAATCACCTTCACACTTTCTCTTGAATGTGCGACCAAACATTCTACAATATGATGGTAGCAAAATGCATCTTATACACGGCAGAAACCAGTACTAAACAGACCTAGAATTATTATAATTCTGTCCCTACAAATCTGGAATAAGTTGAAGAAGTGTTTCAGTATTAAGAAAGGCTTGCTCATGCCTGGGTCTCGTTAATTAATGTTGAATTATCGCATGTTACTATCATATGTTGAGTCACAATCGTTTTCCACATGTCCAAACCTCTCATCAGAAACAGAATATATATATATATATATATATATATATATATATATATATATATATATATATATATATATATATATATATATATATATATATATATATATATATATATATATATATATATAAGGCGTTGGTCCTCAGCATCACAACAGTTATATTTCAATATACAGTATTTGCAAAGAATAATAATAACAATAATCAATTTCACGTGAATTACATTGTTTTCAGAAATTGTGTTCCTTTTGCGATATGAAAATCTTTGCTAAAAAAAAAAAATGGCATTCAGCGACAGATTATGACTTGTGTTGATCCTTGCATCTGAGGTTTCTTGTAGTGTCTCAAGCACTTGCTTTACACGTCTTTAACAACCCAACAATGGAAGAGAAAACGCGGTTACGCACGTTCACATATTTCATTCGAGAAAGACAGTACCATAAACGAATTTATTAATAACCCGAATAGCTTTTCTCTTAAACTTATTCTGTATGCTTAATGGAGGTATTCACAACGCGAGTCCTACGGGTTTTAAGACCGTAAACAATAACTAATAGTTTTAAGATGCTTGTAACATATGGTATCCATCTTGGTCTAAAATGGTGTAGTCTCGCTAGGATACCTGGCCGCTGTTTTCATTAAGTAACGGTAACAGACGCAAGTCGTAACTGATGTTCCCAGTACATCAGTTGCAGGTAACGGGTACGTGACAGGTCGTACCCGTTGTTCCCACTACATAACGGTAAGACAAGTGAACCTGACTACTTCCTCACAAGTTGTATAAGAGCAAGCGACACTAAACGCATAAATAACGAAATTACAGTTTAACTCTAGAATTTTCAGTCGTTCTTCTCATGATGTCTTTATCAGCGCCAAACTTTTCGAATGCATCGCAATTGTCCCTTTAGCTTCAAAATTGTCAAAGATTTCATAACTTTACATAGGCGAGGAGATTAGGAAAATTATTAATAATGCGTTGAACATCAATTATGGAAAAACTTACACGCCACTGATGTGAAGTGATGAATTTGTGAAGAGTTTCACATGGTCATAACTCACCGGCAGTTAGAAGTTGCTGATAACTCAGGACGGTTAAGATAGTGTGCCAAGTACGAGTATTTCTTTACAATGGTTCAGACTTATGTACGTGTCCAGTTATTATTTCCTCTCGCAACTCATTCTCCAAAAATTACAGCACAGTAACTACATGAACTATTGCTTGAACAGTCAAAAATAAACAGTTGAAGCCCCACCAGAAAGCTCTCGTTTTGTATTATTGGAACATTACAAATGGTAGGCTAATAATTGGGAACGGTAACTGTAGAACGTAGCCTAACTTATCCTAGGCCTCAACAGGCAATCCTAGGCTTAATGTATGCCGTCTTTGGGATAATTTAGTATACATTTATGATAAATTAGGCCTAGGAACGTTTAAGTTTTGTTGTTGTTGCCTTGTCTTGTGCCATCAACAAAATATATAGCACGAAACGTGGAGTTTGTGGGCGCATCAGTTCAGCTTCATACGTTCGACAAACAGTTGATATAATTACTATCACTTTTGGGTGATAGGTTGGATCTGATACCATTACTAGCTAAGTGTTAGGAGCGCTCCGGGCTGCTGCTTCCCTCACCTCATCTGTACACAATGCTGCCTTACCTTCCTTAATTAACATAAACACGAACTGAACAACGAAATGTTTATTAGTTTTTTGACTAAACCTTTCAACTTTCGACAATTTACACTGAGGTTGTGGAGAGAGGCTCACCTAAAGTATGATGTTCGGGGATAGGGAGAACAAGACGAATGAGAACAAATCATAACAAATGATTGCTACAAATAACAATAATAATACACATCTGTTGTGATTATTTCCACGGTAGCCCAGTATGACTGGCACCGAGAATTAGCTATATTCAAGCCTAGCAAATTTTCCATCATAAAATAAGCATTTGTCACTGCTATGCAAATTTTCCATCATAAAATAAGCATTTGTCACTGCTATGAGTTTTTGTTAAGAGGATAAACGTGTTACGGCACAGTTCAGTCTATAAATAAAAACAGAAAAGAAACAATATCACATAAAGAATCTATGACTGCTTAGTAGTAGAGGGCGTAGAGCTCATTTTCGCTCACCACACGACAAATGCAAACATTCACGCCAGTATGGCTCCACTGATGAAGCCAACAACTAGATTACACCAATCTAATATCTAAAATTACTACAGGAATCATCTCTCACCTAGAGTTCACAAAATTAAAAGCAAATATTGGCTGTGCAGCTCAGCTCAAACTTTCAAAGCTAGGCTTAAGATTATCACGCAAAAAAATCGAAATGCTATACATAAATAAATTGATAAACTCAACTACTCATATTCAAAACTATTATATATAATCGACTTGGTCAAGTTTTAAAATCTCGCAAATATCGCTGTGTATTTCAATGAATTTAATTGCTTCGATATCTGGGTAGGATTCACAGAACACTGATGTGGCCACTTACGAGACCTGGATATCTTACCTGGATCATGGCGGCTTGTGGGTACTTGCTAAACTTGTGGGTACTTCGAATCGCTGGGAGGTCGTCCACAACAATAATAATCATGGATCCAGGATGCCTTCGTGGGGCTTCAGGGCTCACAAACTGGTTCAGTAAATACTGACTCTGCCGCCATGATCGAGGTAAGAGCTACAATCTCGTCAGTGGACATTAAGTGCTATGTGACTCCTGGCGCTGATATATATATTTTAGCTAAAGGACTTCAAGTGATAAACTTGGGCCAGGAATTGAAGGTTTGAGCCCCAGCTTCCAGCAGTTACCATGGCCCGACAGAGACCGCTTGCACACATATATCACAGTTGACTCTCACATAACTATCAGCAAGCCCACACATCTTACAACTTGAGGCTTCCTAAAGAATTATTCCTTCAAGTAAGTGAGAAAACTTAAAACGACAGGGTTGTTTCAACTCAGGTGCATCGGGCTGTCCTCACCATCTTCAGGTACAACTGAGCCAAAAAAGGAGGTTGTTTTCCCAGGTATGAACAAATCACAAATAATGCACAAACGCAGCAAAGTACAAGAGTATAAACCCTGAGTAACAGGATAGTTTAAAAAGCACAGATCAAGAGCGCATCTAAACCAGTGATCACCACCACTCAAGGACTCTTCTCCTATAGCCGCTTCTTGGTGAGAGCGTCTTACCAACACCTACGACCATCGTATGTGTTCTTACGACCATCGTATGTGTCCTTACGACCATCGTATGTATTCTTACGACCACAGTCCTCTCGTGACTACCTTAAAGTTTAATTTGTTGATTATGGACCATCCTAAAATATAACTTACAATCATAAAATGAGTTTAGGAACATTGCAAGATACTCAGCTGATTGTTTTTGAGGCAGGAACGTCAAATAAATTCTTGTCAAGTTATTATCAAGAGAAAGCTCTAAGACTTATAGTTAAATAAATATATTCAAATAACTTGAGAAATTACCATTTCACTATATTTTAAACAATAATTTTGGTGTTATTATTGGAAATTCATTATTAAATAATGGTTCTGTATTTTGATTATCAATCACTTAAAATCTTTGTAATAGGCTTTTAAATTTTCACGTCTATTTACCACTCCACCACGAGATTCTCTTTAATGCTGACACCCATACACCGAGCCCTGGGCACACTATAGAGCCCTGATCACCCTATAGAGCATTGAGCACCCTATAGAGTCCTGAGCATTCAACAGAAAACCTTGAGCGGCTTATAGAGCGCCCTGAGTATCCTGTAACGCTCTGAACGTCCCATATAGACCTCTGAGCACTCTATAGAGATCTCCGAACATCTTACAGAGAGCCCTGAGCTACATCTTCATTCTCATAACACAGTATTCAACGAAGCACCGCCTTGTTTGCCCTCGCGCATCACAAGGCCGAAGTACTGGAGGAAGCCTCATCCATGTTAGACCCAACACATCAAAAGGCGACTGTAATTCAGGCTAACTTCAATCTAGGATAAGGTGTGGTGTCCACTTCACTCTGCGATGGAGTCCTATATAATTAAATGTCATCCAATGTACCCCTTCACCCTTTTAATTAATAGATTACAATTCCCTATTACCATATTGACATCGTTTTCACAACAGCTGAAGGAGAGAGACAGAGAGCAATCAAAACCTTTACTTAGATTCAGCTTTAGACATGAAGAGATCCAGTTTCTTGCAGCAAAGGGGAAAAATCTCCAAAACCTCAATGCTCACATGACGTTCTTTGCAAGAACAGAATCTTGTCATGCATCAGATGTGCCCAACTGTGTGCCCAACTGCCTGGTTCGTGTCACAGTGGAAATTGGAACACATGCTAGAATTAACAGGTCTTTGCAGAAATTTCAAAACTGATTTAAGCTATAATAATTGGATTTACCCACGGATTTAATAACAAGGGCAAGACTAGGATATGAAATACTAGGACAATAATTTGTGATTTAGGTAGCAGTCAACAGGAAGACCTGATGTAGCATTCTTGGAATCCTTCACACATTTGCATCCTGAGGGAAACTGTTTTTGTCCATGATAATTGTACTACAAAAGATTCTAATATGAAGCCAATATTTTATGCCCAAGTTTAATACATCATAAAGTTCCACTTAGATTTGATTAATTATTCAACCAACAAATGGCAACGTATTCAGCATTATTTGGTTCGTTGCTTACGAGTTTTGTTCATTTTAATGTTCCAGCATTATCCCTCTCTCTTCTCACTCACAGCAACCCAAGTTCTGAGAAAGTTTGGATTGGCGATGTTAAAATTGCATTTACAACAGCAGAGGCTATGAGACACTTGTCGCTTCTGTGTTGCCATGGCCTCGAGCTCTTCTATTGCCATGACCTCCAGTATCTGTGTTGCCATGGCCTCGAGCTCTTCTATTGCCATGACCTCCAGTATCTGTGTTGCCATGGCGTCGAGTTTGTGTTGTTATGGTCTTGAGCTTTTGTGTTGCCATGGCCTCTCCAGTGACAAACAATAACAATATTTAAACACAGGCAACACAGAAAATAACCTACAAAAACACAAACAAATAATAAGCCTGGATTTGGAGATTTTCACCTTCGACTTGAGGATAATTCTTTTGACACATAAATTTCATATTCAATTTGATTACATCAAAGTTACAATGGATGACACGGATCAGAAAACAGCGTCCAATAGTTGTGAGAATAATAACTTGTTTTGTAGCTGCTCTTGTAAATTTCTTCATTTTTTGTTAGAACACATCAAGACATTTCAATTTCAATTTCAATTCAATCAAGCCACTTGAGTGTCAGATGGAGGAGGAAGGAGGAGTCAATGCACACAGGGATAATTTCTCACATATACACTCTGAAACAAATTTCACCAACTGAATGGTTGAGTTACTGTCACTTAAGTCTCTTCATGGGGTTTATCTAGGCTCATTATTTATGCCACTGTCCCACCGAGGTTTCGATGATGCTTTGAGTTTTGAATACTAGAAAACGTAATCAGTATTTCAACTGGTTGCTCATAAATATCTGTGTTACTCTTTATGGTTTAATGGTGACTAGTAGTTCTCTTGGAGTGACTTCTTGTTAATGTTGACTCTTGGACTGTTAGTTTGCTCTGAGAGCCATTGTCGACTTAGGAAACGTGAATAGTCAGAGTTAAACATTAGTAACATGACACTAAAACCAGTTTTAGTCTAAGGCTTTCAAGTGGCTTGGGCCTCGTAGACTAAAACAGTCACAGACTGCCTGATGGTTTCATACTTTGGGAACTGAATGTCAACGTGAGAAGTTGTATTAGTTATTCCTGAACTGCTTAATAAATAACCGGGAATTACAAGTAGTAGATGGCACTTGAAGACACTTTATTTATAAATAAGAAAATTCTAATGTGAGACGATGTCTGTAGAGCTGAAGAACTGGCCGATAGTTCCTGTTCCTGGAGAGGTGGCTTGATGTCATAGGCATCTGGAGGGTCTTACAGAATTAACTCGTGTACAGGAGACACTGACGTCTGAAGAACTAGTCGAGAATTCCTGGATGGTCTGAAGATTCAGTCCAGAACTCCAGGATAGTCTGAAGAATTAGTCCAAATCTCCTGGAGAGTCTGAGGAACTAGTCAAGAGCTCCTGGATAATCTGAAGAATTAGCCAAAAGTACGTGGATAATCAGAACTAGTCAAGCGCCCCCGGATAATCTGGTTCCCTTACTCTTATTAGTTTCCCAGTAAGGTGCCCCACTCAGCACTTATTCCTGCTTGGTGGCGCCCGGAGAATTGGGTTCCTGCTTAATGGAGTTTCCCCGTGCAGCAGCCGCTGCCCCTACGGTCTGACTGAGGGTGTATAGCGCAGAAATGTGACGTTCCTCGTCGCTGAGCTGGGAAGGAACCATAGCGGCAGACATGGAGAGCGCGGGGTTGGCCACCGCGATGATGTTTCCTTGACTGGAGGACAGCACCTGCGGGTACCACAAGGGCGTGTATTAATACCGTTGTTAGTCGCATGTTTTTTGTCACATGTAATACCATTGATTCAATGCCGAGGCTAAGCTTAATCATCCCTCACCTGCACGTAATTGCATTACAAAATGTGAATACTCTTGCCAAAGTTCCGCTCATCTTAGGATCTACTAAGTTAATATGAAATAACTCAAATATATTATTTCAAGTCTTTTTGTATATGTAAAACCAACAATTTGGACAGAGCAGAATAAATTGGTCAATAGGCCCCCCCCCCCCACACACACCAAAGAGCCAAAGCTCAACCCCCACAAGCACAAATAGGTGAGTACACACACACAAACACACACACCAGTTGATTGACAGTTGAGAGGCGGGACTAAAGAGCCAGAGCTCAACCCCCGCAAGCAAAAGTAGGCGAGTACACACACACACACACACACACACACACACACACACACACACACACACACACACACACACACACACACACATATACACACACGCACACACAAATAGGTAGAATTTCTTTCACCTGATGCATCTGTTCACCTAGCAGCAATTTATTTTTTTCGAGAGATAGCTCTAACAAAGACGACGAAGGTGGTCTTTCCTAGAACTGTCTGTTGAGTGATGGTGGTAGTGTTGATGGTGTTGTTGATGGCAGTGGAGATGGTGACGGTGACGACCGACAGTGGAAGGCAGCTGTGGTGATAGTGATTGGTGATAGTGAAACATTATAGTGTTTAACACACTGGTCTCTTAGTACATACACTTCACTGAGAGCAGCAACACACACAGGTCCATCCATGCAGGCGCTGGGTGTTCCCCTAGGAGGTAGTGTGGGTCCTAGTAAGCGAGGGTACTTCCTAGGAGGCAAAAGCGAGTACTAGAAGACACGTTGCTCCCTAGGATGCAAGGTGAGTCACAGTAGGTACGGTGTGCCGTAAGAGGCAGGGTGGTGACTCCTAGATGCAGAGTGCTCGCTAGGAGGTAGGGTGACTCCCAGAAGGCAAGGTGTTCCCTAGGAGGCAGAGTGCTTCCTAGGAGACTGGGTGCTCGCTAGGAGGCAGGGCGTGTCCTTGTAAGCAGGGGTGCAGGATGCTCGCTAGGAGGCATGCAGGTTGTGTCCTAATAATCAATGTGCTTCCTAGGAAGCAGGGTGTACTTTAGTAAGCAGGGTGCTCTCTAGGATGTCGGTTACTCCCTAGGAGGCAGAGAGCTTCATAGGAGGCTGGGTGCTCGCTAGGAGGCAGGGCGTGTCCCTATAAGCAGAGGTGCAGGATGTTCGCTAGGAGGCAGGGCGTGTCCCTATAAGCAGAGGTGCAGGACGCTTGCTAGGAGGCAGGGCGTGCCCTTGTAAGCAGAGGTGCAGGATGTTCGCTAGGTGGCAGGGCGTGTCCCTATAAGCAGAGGTGCAGGACGCTTGCTAGGAAGCAGGGCGTGCCCTTGTAAGCAGAGGTGCAGGAGGTGTCCTATGATGCAGGGTTCGCCCTAGGCTACAGGGAGGGTGTGGTGGTGGTGGTGTTCCATGCACCACAAAGACGACGACGGGTTTAACAGGGGGGTACAATACACCACACTGACAGAAGTAATAAAAAGGATCGTAGACATTACCTTCCTCACCTTATTTTCAGGGTAGGAGAACATCTCCGAGTAGGTGGTGGGAGGAGAGACTAATCTGCCGGGGGCGTTGGCGGAGGGGGCCGCAGAGACAGGCACTGTAGGAGCACCGCCCGCCGAGTTGTGCTTCCCTGCGGGCCCGTCCTGCTGCTGCTGCTGCTGCTGGGAGTTCCGCTGGTAGGAGGAGGAGTCCTGGGGACGGGAGACCTGATCCTTCTGTTGGTTTAGGGACTCCTTCACCACCCGCAGACCTTCGTCCACAAGGGTGTCCTGCACCAACTGCTGTAGGTACGACTGGTGATATTAGAGAGGAGTGGCGACGGGCAGACGAGAGCTGATGCAGGGGGAGTTGGGGCACGGGGGGCAGGTTGGGCACGGGCAGGGGGGGGTTGGGCACGGAGGGCACGGGCAGGGTACGGCTCAGGTAAGGGGTGTGCAGCATGGGAGGAAGATATAAGGTAGCTTTGACGAACAGGGGAAGACAAAGTAGAGGTAGACGAACAGGGGAAGACAAAGTAGAGGTAGACTAACAAGAGCGAAAAGGTAGACTAACAAATATTCGTATAACACAGAAAATAACGCAACAGAGAAGGAGAGAGAGAGAGATAACTCACCAGAGATAGAGAAGACGTTAGGTAAAGGACAAAGAGCAGATAACAACAATAATAATAACAATAATACAATCATCGTAAAGATACTAATGAAAATACGAGATGATACAGAACAGAGAGACACAGACAATCAGGTACCCAGAGACGGACAGTCATCCACGCACACAGACAGACAGAGGAGACAGACAGACAGACAGACAGAAGCTGACAGGAGACACATCAGCAACTTGGTAATAAAGCGCAATAAAAAAAACATTAATAGGCAGCTCGCGACGAATGAAAGGGGATGAGACACGACCCAAAAAAACGGACAGAGAAGAAGAGGGGAAAAGAGGGAGAGGGAAGAGAAAGAAAGAGAAAGAGATAGAGAGAGAGAGAGAGAGAGAGAGAGAGAGAGAGAGAGAGAGAGAGAGAGAGAGAGAGAGAGAGAGAGAGAGAGAGAGAGAGAGAGAGAGAGAGAGAGAGAGAGAGAGAGAGAGAGAGAGAGAGGGGGGGGGAAAGTCAATGACTTAATAAAGAACAAAAAATAGATATGAAGGATTACTGGTAAAAGTGAGGGGGAGTAAAAGTGATCTTGTGATAAAGTGAAGGGAGAGGGGAGATGAGAGTGTGAGGGGGAGAGAAGGGAGTGATGAGAGTGTGAGGGGGAGAGAAGGGAGAGTACGGGAGAGAATGTTATACTTGAAATGGGAGGAAGCAAAGAAGAGTAACGACTAGAGATGGAAAAGATTGAGAAGTAGTGAGGGGGAGGAGTGAGGGAGAGGAGTGAGGGGGGAGGAGTGAGGGGGGAGGAGTGAGGGGGGAGGAGTGAGGGGAAAGGAGTGAGGGTGTGAGGTAAGCACACCATAAGATAATATGACATAGGCCTACCAGCATCTGGTCACGTCGTTTAACACGTAGTTACCTAGAGTAGCAACCTAGTCACTTGAACCCGCAAGTTATCATCTGAACCCCCTCCCTTACCTAGTATACAAAGCTCTCCTCTCTCCTACTATCACACACATTCAGCACCGCTCCTGTGCCAGGTAAGTTACGGGCTCACCATAGCCCGTGCTACTTGGAACTTGTTCCGAGTAGCTGAATCTATAACAACAACAATCCGACTCTCATTCCCTCCACACCTGCCACCGTCTCCACCACACCGATCAACTTATCGGCCAGCTAATTGGTTACCTTCATGTCATCTAATCACCTCTAACTATTCCTAACTAACCTCTAACTATAACTAACTAAAATTGGCCTCCTTCCCATCACCTGACATGGTAACACTTATTCTTATCCTCCATCTATCGACATGATTATTCGTTCAAACATTTCCTAATTGCCTCGTTCACCCCTGGTCTAAGATCTAGGAAGATGGACGAACGGAAAAGTACTCAAGAAGTAGCCAAAGTCTTTTCGTAGTGAAGAGTTGGAGCTGAAGAAACACTAAGAATATCAAGAGTGTCTTCACATTGTCAACACATTTGGGCAGCTAAATGTTGCCTGAACATATTCTTCAATGTTTCTGGGTTATCTTGAGATGATTTCGGGGCTTTAGTGTCCCCGCGGCCCGGTCCTTGACCAGGCCTCCACCCCCAGGAAGCAGCCCGTGACAGCTGACTAACACCCAGGTACCTATTTTGCTGCTAGGTAACAGGGGCATAGGGTGAAAGAAACTCTGCCCATTGTTTCTCGCCGGCGCCCGGGATCGAACCCGGGACCACAGGATCACAAGTCCAGTGGGCTGTCCGCTCGGCCGACCGGCTCCCTTTCCTTGTGGGTAACTTTCCTTATGGGTAACTTTCCTTGTGGCAGAACGCATCTTGTCTCTCAATTGTCATGTATTAAGAGATAGAAAACGTGAGGGAACAATAAGAAGGTAAACTCCGCAATCATCTGGCTGAGTCTACTTCCAGGTATTCTTCCAGGTATTCAAGAAGGACTTGAGGCCTATCAACCTCCGGAGGATTATTAAGGCCATTACAATAGGCCTATAGACCAACCAACAGCTATACGTTAGTGATGCATATATTCCAGCACTAAAGTAAACTCCCAGTGAATATTCAAAGGAATATCCGAATTAGTAACTGGGCGTCCACAATGCAAGCCGAGTTGGTAGCGATACTGGTAGCACTCGACATTATTGACAACACTGAAGTAGACAGCTTAATTATTTCTGACTCCCTTTCCTCACTACGAGCAATAAACAGTTTGCAATCAAGTAATAACGTGCTTGTCTTGGAAGCTAGACGTAGATATATAAGAATACTTAGCAAGAGGGTAAATATAGAAATGTTGTGGATTCCTTCTCACATTGGCCTGCAGGAACATGACAAAGTTGACGCCCTTGCTAAGGCTGCAGTAAATATAGACAGTATTGAACGGAATCTTCAGTTATCAAATAGGTCCCTTAAAAGTGTCATTAGACGAGAACTCCTGGATGAATTTGAAGAAAGTAGAACAGTGCAAACTGGAACTAGCAGGTCCATTGTTCATCACAATGAAATGTGTGAAGTAAAACATGTGTATGGGGCAAGTAACAAAGTCAGTAGACTAATAGATGTTGTCACAGCTCGTATAAGACTTGGCTACAAGTATCTCTGGCAGTTCGGCTTGTATAGGGATCTAGATGAAGTAAAGTGTAAAGTGTGTGGACAAAGACAGCGACACACTCGAACATTATATCTTGGATTGTAGTAAAATTGAGCCATTTAGAGATAAATCTAAGCTCACTCTGTATGATATGGCAACCTATCTTATTACCATGGATAAATTACCTGAAATCCTTGCACTGTACCCACATTTCGCTTCCAGTAGATGAACGACACATGAGATTCAGAAACAAGTAGTGTATTGTGAGGACTAATAATAAACAGAAGCTCCCCTATGACTCTGTAATATCCCCATTGGTCAAACTATTATATATTAGCGATAAGACCTACCATTAATGTATGATGACTTACTGTAAATATGTAGCTCTTGTAATAGCACTTTCTCTGTAACTAGCTGACATTGTAACTATAAGGTGTGAAGGATAGATGAAATTGTTTATGTAATAATCTAAGATGAGGTCTGATAAAGACCTTTTGTGCCCTCTGTAATGCTTTTGCGCTACCGCTCACAGGATGAGTATGGGGTGCACAATAAATTAGCCGCCTTCGGGGGCAACAATCAAAATCAAAATCCCAGTAATATACATTATATACATATCTCCTTATATATGCCAGCATTACCAGAATATACCTTCAACTTCCATATACCAGAATATACCTTCAACGATTGAGAGGCGGGACCAAAGAGCCAAACCTCAACCCCCGCAAGCACAACTAGGCAAGTACACACACACACACACATATCATATCTACACTTGAAACTGTGACTCCATACACAGTTTCAAGTGTAGATATGACAGAGCCCAATAGGCTCAGGAATCTGTACACCAGTTGATTGACGGTTGAGAGGCGGGACCAAAGAGCCAGAGCTCAACCCCCGCAAGCACAACTAGGCAAGTACACACACACACACACATATCATATCTACACTTGAAACTGTGACTCCATACACAGTTTCAAGTGTAGATATGACAGAGCCCGATAGGCTCAGGAATCTGTACACCAGTTGATTGACGGTTGAGAGGCGGGACCAAAGAGCCAGAGCTCAACCCCCGCAAGCACAACTAGGTGAGTACAACTAGGTGAGTACACACACACACACACACACACACACACACCCACACTCACACACACACACACACACACACACACACACACACACACACACACACACACACACACACACACACACACACACTCACACACACACACACACACACACACACACACACACACACACACACACACACACACACACACACACACACACACACACACACACACACACACACACACACACACACACCAGCTCATCCTCCTGTGTTGGTAGTACTTACAGTAACGATGAGGATCATAGTACATATACCGACGTACAACGCAATTAGAAAGTAGAAATCTGTACTACTGAATTTGGACAAACCGGAAAAGATTTTGTAACTGTGTTGCAAAGACGACCTAAACTACCCTAACCTAACCTTCCTAAACCTAATGCACGCTATCTGAGGCCTAATATAGTACATATGTGTGCTATACTAGGCCTAGGAATATTTATGTTTGTTTTTAACTTCATTTTTCGGACAATAAAGTGGACTGTATCAAGTAACCCCCCCCCCATTCCTGGCCTAACCCCACTCCGTTCCTGGTCTAACCCCACTCCGTTCCTGGCCTAACCCCACTCCGTTCCTGGCCTAACCCCCCCCCCCCATTCCTGGCCTAACCCCACTCCGTTCCTGGCCTAACCCCACTCCGTTCCTGGCCTAACCCCACTCCGTTCCTGGCCTAACCCCACTCCGTTCCTGGCCTAACCCCACTCCGTTCCTGGCCTAACCCCCCCCCCATTCCTGGCCTAACCCCCCCCATTCCTGGCCTAACCCCACTCCGTTCCTGGCCTAACCCCCCCCCATTCCTGGCCTAACCCCACTCCGTTCCTGGCCTAACCCTACTCCGTTCCTGGCCTAACCCCACTCCGTTCCTGGCCTAACCCCCCCCCATTCCTGGCCTAACCCCCCCCCATTCCTGGCCTAACCCCACTCCGTTCCTGGCCTAACCCCACTCCGTTCCTGGCCTAACCCCACTC